CGGGAGGACACTAGTTTATGTCCTCCCGTGACCCTGAGGAGAACTATGGGGAAAAACACTTACCCCATAGTTCTCTAAGTATTTTTTCTTTTTCATAAATTACATTTTATTGACTTGCAATGTGCCTTGGAACATGCTACAGAATATGACTTCAGGAAGAGTCAGTTCATTAGCACAGCCCCCTTCCTTGCTGCTTGCATGTCATAGCCCTCTCCTCTTGTGGGAGTGTGTAATTACTGTATGTTTTGGCCCAGCTCATCTGGGCATCCCTTCACCTCCCTACAAAAACTTTATGTAGGAAATATTGAAGAGTTTTACTTAAGTGTCAACTCAGAGTCGGTTTGGGCTGTTGACATCACAACAAAGATGGCGGCATCCATCAGCAGTTTCGGGCTTTTGAAGGTCTACACAAGGGAATGTTTATAGATAAATAACATGCATAAAGTAATTAAATGCACATATAATCTAATGGAAAGAGTGGATGGTCTGAGGACAGGACCCTATTTTCACTATTGGCTGGTAGTTATTAACTGCTTGGGCACTAAAGTGATGCAACGCAAACTTTGTCTCTCTCCAACTGTTTTTCACTTGAAAACATCTAAAGATACTGGGGGGAATTTATCAAACTGTAGAAGACAACATCTGGAGCAGATTTGCACTGCAACCAATCGGCTTCTCTCTCTCATTTTTAAATCTTACCTGAGCAAACTGAAGAGAGATGCTGATTGGTTGCCATGGGCAACTCCTCCAGATTTTCTCTGCTCCAGTTTTGATAAATTCCCCCCACTGTATGTGCAGGGACTACTAGGTGTCGGGGCTGTTTTCTTGCAGCCAGTTCAGAATTTTGATATTAGGGGGTGGAGGCATGCAAAGAACATGTCAAAACACTTTATTGTGCCTGTTCTCTGTAAGCACAGGTTCACGTTAATGTCATTTTATTTTACGAGATTAACCATTGATATGATTTAGAACAGACTGTTCTTTTTCTTTAGGTGCTTTTCCCCAGTATTCTTCCACATCCAGCTGCTCTGGGAGTTGGTGCTTCTAGGGGAACCTTTGGTGGTAATGGCTCCCTCTCCGGCACAGTCTTCAGAAACGGTGCTAGCCCTTGTAGGGTAAGTCTTCGCAAGGGCTTCTTGTCATCTGCAGACTGCTGTTTTTAGTGCAGACCTACCTTACGGATTGAAACATCATCAAGTTAGCTCTACTACATCTGTGGATGTAAAGCAAGACTCCAGGCAAATCAAATCTTAACCCTTGCAGTGGGGCTACCTCTGCACTGCAAGGGTTAAGTGCTCACTTTGTCTGGTGAGCTAAAATAACAAAGTTATACTCACCGGAACACTGATCCCAGCTGGCACCTACACTGCTAACTATAGCCTGTCTCCAAATCCGCTCCAGCGACAGTATGTCCCGCAGTGTCCTCAAGTTGTTTACACTGTATAGGATCTGATGACTCACTGGACCTTAGACTGCTGGAGTGGAGGGGGAGAGAGGCTGAAGGGACCGGTCTAAGAGCAATTGGGAATCTTGGTTCCAGTGAGTATAACTTTTTTTTTTTTTTTTTTTTTTAGCCCCCTAGACAAAAGGAGCACTTAACCCTTGCAGTGCGGCGGTAGCCTCTCTGCACGGGTAAAGATTTGATTTGCATGGAGGTCTGCTTTAAAGGAGGTGTGTATCTATATATTAATATAATTTTGTGTATACAGAAGTGGCAATATAAAAACTTCGGTCCCCCGTCTGTAGCGAGACTACAAATCCCATTAGACATTGCAAGACTCTCTTGCAGCCAAAGGCATGACTTCCACAGGCAGATGCATGATGGGATTTTTAGTTGCATGTCTTGGATGTCACACAAATATGACTGGGCAAGATTTAACTGTTGTAAGGCAGCATGTAATGTTGGCATACAGCTGAAATCACTATTACTTTTTTTTTTATTCTTTATTTATAAACAACTCGGGTACAATAAAATAGACAATTATAAATAGAAAATGCTCATGAATATGACTCCCAGATGACAGCATGAAGATCCAAGAAAACGTGCACCTCCAAATAAGTATACAGACATCCTCAATTGTCAACAATCATGTGCAACCATCGTACTCAACAACTGGCACATTGTCTCCAAACCCGAGTAGTAACCTTTATACTTTTTGTTTAGAAGCATTACAACAGAAAAGTTCTCATACGAAATCTCCAACTCCTGACTAACCGGAGAAAGATGAATAAAAACGAACTAATCATGAGAAAAGCAAGATATGACGAAGCTCCAAGGAGCGAGAAAGAAGAGAAACGGGGCTTAGACAGGGGAAGCAAGACAAGGGAAGGGAGGAGAGAGAGGGAAGAAGAGATGGAGAAAAAGACAAACAACAAAAGAAAAAGAAAAGAGGGGGGCAGGGATAGAGGAATGCAAGATACCGGATTGGGGCAAGTTTTCCAATGCGTCCCTTAACCACAAAAAGATTGGCTGTGTTGGTCTCTAGGCCACAGGGCAGTAAAGATAAGTCACCCCGGACCTGCCCGGGAAAAGTCAGAGGTTTCCAGGAATGCAAGCCATGGGGATGGGGACCAAGTCACTACAAACTGATGGCAGCGATCATGCAGAGCCGAAGTTGTCCTCCCATGAGGCGATTCTCATCCACCTTCTCCACCCACATGGCCACCGTCGGCGGTGTGGACAGTATCACTATTACTTTTTAAATTCAGTGTTGCTATGACCAAGTAATCAGCAGTGGACTATCAGAGGTTTTGGCTGCGCTATGCTGGTCTGTAATAATGAATAGAATTAAATTTTTCTCGCTAATATAACAACAAATGTCATCTCATATTCCATCCATGCCAGGGCGGTGTGGTGCCTGTAAGCTCTGTCTCTCAAAAGATGTGTGGAATCCTAAAAGAAATATGCTTTTGTATAGAATGAAAAAAAATGTTTCAAGTTTTTAAGATAATTATTTGCACATCTAAGGCTTCATTCATGGCACGGCTGGGGATACCTCCCTCAAGAACCTACGGATTCTTGTCGGTGGAATCCCAGATGTGTCCGTACAGATGCATCTGCATTGGCACTGACAGCAGCCACATCTGTCAGCGACTAGTCCGCATATCATCATGTGATTTGTGGAACGACTCCCTGCGTTTCAGGATAGATAGTTGTGCCTGGACAGAAGCTGTCTGCCACAGAAATCCCAAGCCGCAACCTAAAGCCTCGTGTAAATAGGAACTAAAGGCCATAATTAAGCTGGTACTTCTGGGTGGTAAGCAAAATATAAAAGTAATACACGGACGCATCAGAACAAAGCCATCATTCTTCAACACCCAAGTGAACCCTTGCTATTTAAATCTGTCATTTAGTCAGGCTGCCTATACATTATTAAATATTTGAATTCCTGAGCATCATTGTTGATTGGTGCTAGTAAAAGGGCCCCATATTACTGTATATTCAGCCTGACTGCATTACAGTGATAACAGAGGTTCAGCTGGGCTTAATAGGGACACTGGCACCTTGCCAGTGTCCCTATTACAGTATCTCTAGAAATTCTTCCCCCAGACCCACCTATACCCAGGCTGTCAGCGCTCCCCTGCTGCTCCTTACTCCAGGGTTGCCTTTTTTAAATTGAGAAGAAAACCTTCTTGGTCAGCTAATCTACTTGCAAACCATTTTCATTGCCATATGAGTGTGGCGCCACCTATTGCATGATTTAGTAATTATTTGCTTTATTTACCTCTGCAATTTTTTATATAGTATGTGTATTACGTTTAATGTGTACTTTTTTTTACAATTGTACATCAGTCTTTATGCTCTGGGGTAATTGTCAAAACTCTATTTTTGGTGAAGAGACCTAATTTCACAGCGGCGTAGTGGTTAGCACAAGGGATGCACCGATATATCGGCCGACCAAACATATCGGCTGAAAAAGGCACTTTTGGCATAATGCCGAAAGTGCCATTTTCCTGCCGATACAGCGGCGCATCCCTGCTTTCTTTACTGTTGTGAGCGGCCGGCGTCTTCTCCCACACCGCTCAGCCTCCTATCACATTCCGGCAGAGCGGTGTGTGGGTGCAGACAGGCCGCCCTGTCACAGGAGGCTGAGCTCTCCTCCCTTCACCGCTCGATCAGCCTCCTGTGACAGCGTTTTAGAGAGGAGAGCCAATGCAAACACTCAACGATCAGTGATCGCTGAGTGTTTTGTAGATAATTGAGGACATGGTATGTGTACTATATCCTCAATTATGAATGAATGGGAAGTGATCTACATCACCCCCTGTTCATAGTTATAGTAAACATACAATGTTCTCAAGTTATGAATGAACAGGAACACTCATAGAGGATTCCTGTTTATTGATAACAGGAGATACATAAAAAGACATAGAGGACTTTGTGTCCTCAATCTCTTTTTCTATTTTAAAAGGGAAATGTTGGGAGTCTGTTTAGACCCCTAATATTTCCCCAAAGCCCCTAAAAGTAAAAATTGAAAATATTTAATAAAAAAAAGTAATAAATAAAAAATTAAAAAGTTTATTAAAAAATAAATAAAAAGAAAATATTTAAAAAATGTGAAATAATTTAAATAAAAAAATATTTTTGGTTTCGTTTCGGCTTTAAAATTTCCATTTCGGTGCACCTCCTAGTTAGCACTTCTGACTTGCAGCACTGAGGGTCTCCAGTTCAAATCCCAGCCAAGACACTATCTGCAAGGAGTTTGTATGCTCTCCCTGTGCTTGTATGGGTTTCCTCCGGGTGCTCCGGTTTCCTCGCACATTCCAAAGACATGCTGGAAGGTTAATTGTCTTCTATCTAAATCGGCTCTGTATGTATGCATGTGAGATAGGGACCTAAGATTGTAATCTCCTTGAGGGCAGGGAATGATGTGACTGTACAGTAAGTAAAGCGCTGTGTAAATTGTCGGCGCTATATAAATACCTGTAATAAATAAATTTCCTAATGCAAGTTTGCACTACTTTTATTAGCATCTTTGTGGAGTAAACAAGCAGCTGTGGAATCAAGTCTGGATGCGTATTCTCATTTACTGACATAAAAATTTGCTATTTTATTTTAGATGCATATCACCATTAAAATACTGCAGTGATTTCAGACCATACTTCACAATTCACGATGCAGAATTCAAGGAATATACCACCAGGACACAGGCACCGTAAGTATTCCCTATTGGTTTCCAGCGGTCAGACTCATTCAGTAACTCTAAAGTGCTAATTCCTAAGTGCAGGACCAATAGAACTCACTCTGCAGTCCAGAATGAATTCTGATTTGTTGATGAGGGATGCAGCATTTGGAACTCTTTATTGTATAGGTGTTTGCAGTGATGGGCCAGGGAAAAAGGCACTAAATACAGATTGTGCTATGGGCTGGCCACCCGTCTGTCTTCGACCAAGCAGAACACAGGTTGAATTACGGAACATCACCTCTGTTTATGATGACATATGAGCAAACCAAGCAATGGTTTAGTATGAACTATATTCATTTAATATTCATACTCATTTAACTTTCAAATTAAAGTTTTAACAAATCCTTCAAAGTATACGTCTAGCCCAAACATAGTTTTAGAGGAAGTCTTGGAACTCCTGTTAGGGTTTTACTGCTGTCCAGGGCTCCTTTAGAGATTTCCCCTTACTTCCTGCTCTGCTGACAATGTTTTACCAGACAGGAAGTGAGGGAAACTCTCCAACATCAACACAGTTAAAAATACAAACTTATTTTTATTGGCAGAATAGAGAGGCTGGAACCCCTGTCAAATTATTAGTTATTTTTTATATGGGATGTATAAGAAAAAAAGCTTCAGGTATCCACCAGATTGTACCAAAGAAAGTACAGAAGTTTTATTAGGAATATAGGAATTAAAATACAAAAGGGCCACAGCAAGGACAGTTTGAGAAAATTGCTGTTCACGCGATGAAACCTGTTATGGCAGCAGTTACCTCCTGGGCCCCACTGCCCTGTCAGTGTTCCTATAACTGCCAACACGAGCGATACCTGAAGGTTGTTTCTGTTATATCCTGTATGAATATTGTGGTGTTCCCTTTTTCGATCCCCAACGGCCACACACCAATGCCATCACTCCAGTAAAATCAATTTTATTTAGCTTCAAAACATACGTCTCAGCCTCTTCATAGGTCAGCTCCGTTCTAACGTGTTTTAACCCCAACAGACTTAATCCCCCAATTCCTTATTTTGTGGTCACAGGGATAGACAGCACAGTGAAATCTTCTAAATGTCACAGGTGGTACTGCAAACTTTTGGAAGGAGTAGAGATGAGGTGCTGGATTTCAGATTGATGGTGGATTGGTCAGATTGTATTCTACTTTGATATGCCCAATATTTATTCAGCAAACAACCAACTCCAGGAACCATTTTTTTAATTAACCCTTGCATCGGGAAGGGATACACTCGCACTGCAAGGGTTAATTGCTCATTTTTGTTTAGGTTATGTCGATGTACTCACCTGTTGCTCTGAGCCGGCTTGTTCTTAGACCGGTCCCTAGAACCTCTCTCCTCCTCCTCTGCAGTGGTCTAAGATTCCATAATTGATCATGTCAATACACTGTGTATACACGTGAGGACCCGCAGACCTTTTGTTTGGTGCTCTCATTAGAATTAAAGGATAATTTAACCCTAGCGTTTTTTTTGCCTAGATTTACTGCTAGCAAGCAGTACATGTATGTATGCAAAAACATAAAAAAAAAAAAGTGAAAAAAGGTTAACACTTACCCGTGACTCTGCTGCACGCTCCCGTATGAAGATTCTCAGGCAGCCACAAAGGATCATGGGGCGGGCGCATATGCAGTAGAAATCTTCAGCCAGGAGAAGAGGAGAGACACAGGGTAAGTCAATGCAGGCAGCCCGGCAGTGTGCACCGCACAGACCCTGTGGGACAGGAAGACGCAGCAGTCAGCGCTGGATCAGAGAACGGCGCCAGCGCTGGAGGGACTGCTGAATACAAGTGGAAGGAAGAAGATGATTGGCTCAAGAGGCATTATTTAAGGCAAGTCCTTAAAGCAGCATGGGGGGGGATGGGAATATTTGACTATTGTCACGTTAAACTTGCCATTAACTTTTATTTTTTCTACATCTATACTTTATAAAGAATGCCTAAACTTAGGATTTAACCTTGTACATGAGACACAATCTCAGTCACTGACTCTGTAATTTTGATATTTTCTTTATGGGGGGAAATCCTCAAAATGTGACCTTGAGAGTTGAGTTCACTCTTGAGTTCACTCGTGAATTGACACTGTCTTTGCTTCTTCTTTGACGGGAGTACATCAGGGACACTTCCCGTCACATTTTTTGTTTACGCTGTTAAGTAACCATGTGCCATTCTCTTTAGGCCTTCTGTCATTTTTGGTGTCACCAACCCGTTCTTTGCAAAAACACTGCAGCATTGGCCCCATATCATCCGCATTGGCGATGTCAAACTAGCAGGTAAGGTTTACTTTATTCTTAAACAATAGGGATAAATTGTGTTTTTCCGTCAGACATATTTGTATGTTAAATTGTTAGTATTTCATTAGAACAGCAGGCCTGGCATTTTCATGCAGAATAGGTTTTTGGAAACAGACAAGTTTTTGACTAGTTTTACTTCCAGCTCCAATGGTATTTATTGATAATGTTACTTTAAAGTAATATTAAACCCTTCCATTTTTTTATAAGAGGTTACTTCACTCACACAAGGGAACTTCAGGAATGTTAAAAAGTTAACCCTTGCAGTGGATGTGCCCCTGCACTGCAAGGGTTAACTGGTCATTTTGGTCTAGGGGCTGGATTAAAAAAAGATATACTCACCTGATCCTCAGTCCTTCCTGACTGCTAGACTGGTCCCGGCAGCCTCTTCTCCCCCCCCGGGTCTCCAGCAGTCTAAGCTCCGCTGATGTCATCACATCTATTTCAGTCTATTCACCTGCATTAGATGCGAGGATAGTGAGGGACACACTACAGACGGAGCTGAGGGGGAGGCAGGTGAGCACCCGAGGACCGAAGATCAGAAGATTGTTTCGTCTGTATTCTGGCTACTAGAGAAAAACAAGCAGTTTAAGCCTTTCATTGTTGTGGTAGCCCCACTGCAACAGGCAACAGGAAACCTTTTATATTCCCGGAGTCTTCTTTAATATAAAAGTATTCATTTCCATCATGCATACACATATCAGAATTTTATTTTGAGCAATAGGTCCCAGTCACTTACTTTTTAAAACATTAAATATCCCTCATTGCTACTTCCCTGAACTTCCGGGCACACTGTAAAAGCCGTTTGACTGCCCGCAATTGGACTACATCCCCCACCCCCCTTTGCACAAAAAAACACTGCACAAGCATGACCAGCATTGAACTTCAGTTGCTCTCTATGCTTATGCTGGGCGTATTTCCCCCAGATTGGGGAAACTTCTTTTTAGTGGTACCCTAGGCAAAAATGAACATTTATCCCTTGCAGTGTGGGAGGAGCCTCACTGCAAGGGTAGTTTTGAATTTTCCCATGAGTTTAGTTGTAGAAGCCCTAGAGATTATATTGAAGATATTACATTTATCAAAAGTACACAGGACACTGGAAACTTCAAAGTAGATGTAGATATCAGGGGGAAGCAAGGTGCTGGTAATGTAGGTTACATAGAGCAGCAGTTCACTGTATTTCTAGATGTTGTAATACATAGGTTGAAAAAAGACACAAATCTGTCAAGTTCAACCATTTTAAAAATGAATAAGTAAATTGAAAACCTGCATATACAGAACCCTATACCCAGAGCAGATCCAGAGGATGGCAAAAACCCTCATAAAGCATGGTCCAATTTGCTACAATGGGCGGGGGGGAATTCTGGATGCTCCCCTTAAGCAACTTGATATTGCCTACATCAACCATCTCTGGTGTTATCACTTATAAGGAAAGGCATCCATTTTTCTTTTTTAAACATCAACTGAGCTGAGAACTAACTCCTGAGGAGGCCCATTCCACATTTTCACAAATTTCTGCATGCGCAGGTTGAACCTCTTTTCCTTCAGACTACCCCCTTATCATTTGTAATGGCCTTGAAGTGAGCAACTTACTTGCACCATACTTAAAGTGACATTAAAGGATAAAAATGTTTCCCTCCCCCCCTATGTTAATGTCAGCACTTACCTTAAATGATGTCTCTTAATCCGATCTTCTTCTTCTTTCCCCATGTTTTCATCTGTCCCTCCAGCGTTGCGGCGGCTCTCCGATCCAGCGGTGACTCCTCTCTGCTTGCAGGCGCTTCTGATCCAGCGGTGTCTGCATGCGGGTGCACGCGTCCATAGACTTACCTTGCGTCTCTGCTCGTCTCCCGGCCGAGAATCCGAACTGTGCATGCGCCCGCCCCAAGATGCTTTGTGGCCGCCAGAGCAGTTTTGTTTTCTCGGACGGGAACGTGCAGCCGAAACAAGGTAAGTGTTAAGCGCTGTTAAAGCGGGTTGCCTATATCTACTGCTTGATAGCAGTAGATATAGGCAAAAAAACGTGAGTGTTTAGAACCACTTTAATGTATTGACAATTTATGTAGATGTTATACATGGTGATCACATTCCCCCTTTAAACGCTTCTTCTCAAGTGATAATAAATGAATTGTATTATTATTATTATTATTATACAGGATTTATATAGTGCAGTTTGTACAGCGCTTTACAAAATCGTATATTTGATTATTACAGGAGACGTTCCTAAACAGGTCAAAGTAAAGAAACTGAAAACACTAAAGACTTTGGACTCGAAGCCTGGTAAGCATAGTTCTGCATTATGCTGTATAATATAAATCTACGCTAGGTTTTAATTCCTCTTTTTTTTACCTAGGTGTGTATAGCTCCTACAAGCCATATCTGAACAAAGATGAAGAGATTATTAAGCAGTTGCAGAAGGTAATGAACTTTTCACCCAGGCTTAGTTGTATACAGTTTAGTATTTTATTCAGTTATGGGTTTGGAATACAGTGGTGTCATCGCCCCATCCATGGACACTGTGCTCACTTCTCCTGTCAGCTTGTTTTATTTCCATACACGTTCATATTTCAGAGCCTGATTGTCTCATAGTACTGCCCCTCCCTCTCACAGTGCTGCTGTGCAAAGGGTGATAGGAGGCTGATAGCAAGACAGAGTCAGGCACCTATGCTAGGCGCATGTAAAAATACATGTATTTTTAAAGGAATATACATCCATATTCAGTTCAGCTTTAAAGAACATATTCGGGAAAAATCTTTATTAACCCTTGCAGTGGGGCTACCCCCGCACTGCAAGGGTTAAGTGCTTGTTTTTGTCTAGTGACTAAAATAAAAAAGTTATACTCACTCACCCGATCCTCATAGCTGGCCAGCTGCCACAGCTCTCCCTCCAGCCTGTCTCCTACACTGCAGTGATATGTGCCTCGGGGACCTGTACACTGTGTATAGAACGTGATGACTCGGGGACCTTAGACCACTTTAGCGGAGGAGGAGAGACGCTGGAAGGACCAGTCTAACAACAAGCCGGCTTGAAGCATTGGGTCGGTATAATGTTTTATATTTTAGTCCCTAGATGAACACGAGCAGTTAACCCATGCATTGCAGGGTAGCCCCACTACAAGAGTTAATAACAATTTTGCCAGGAGTTCTTCTGTAAGAGATCATTTGTTTGTCTTTCTCCTGTATGTTGGTATGAGTTGTTCAGAAAGGAGAAGTTTCTTGTTACTCATGGCTTTCACTTGTAATTCCTTTGGTAAGCATCTAATACTACTCTGTGTTTTCTCAATTTTTCCTGAACGAGTCAACGAGATCCAATTGTAGCATTCATATTAGGGGGAAGAGCCATGTCCTCTCAGTTATGTATATATTATTTTCCACGTACAAGCAGAGCTGCTGGTCTAGAAAGGGATTTTTAGCTTTCCAATGGGAATTTCTGAGAAATGGGGTAGAAATGTGACTTATGGGTTTTCGGGTGTAATTCTTTTTGTATTCTTAAAGCTGAACAGCAGACATAAAATATTTCGATTAAATATATTCCTTAATAGCTTTAGAGACTATAAAGCCACTTTGTGGGTACCAAATGCCTTTTGAAACCCAGATATTGACATATAAATGTAGTGATGACATCATCAGTGTGCTGCCTGTGCAGAGAGCAGAGCTAGAGTGGCCCAACAAGCTCCACCCACTACAGGTTGCCTGCAGAAAACTACAGGAGGGGGCGGATACAAGACCAGTCACCCTGCACAAGGAGAGAGAGCGGCAGTGACTGGTCTTTTACAGGAGGCTCTTACACAAAGGAAAACGTTTACTCTGGAATACTGCACAGATCTGGAAGAAATACACAAGACTCAAAGATTCAAATAAGTCTGCACACACTTGATAATGTTTTCAAGGGCTGTCCTAGAAGACTACCGGAAAAGGAGTTACCGGTAAGTCTAACTCCGGTTTTCCTATACCGGATATATAGTAATATCAGCTTTTACAACATATACACTACAAAGCAATGTTTTCTTTGCTTCTGTAGTGTTTGAAAACAAATTGACACACGTCGTCAAAGGGTTTACGTAATCATACGCTCCCTAAAATGCCACTTGCTACAAAGTGAATAAACAGACGAAGGACGAGTATTCTGCTTAATTTGGACAATGACATTCATTGCTAAACCATAACAGTTGTCATTACAGGTCCAGGATTTCCATAGTGATATTGGCAGGGTGGCTAATCAAGCAGAAGGCCAGTGTCAGATCCTGTATAGGTTTACGTGCTGGGAGACTGACCCCAGACATCACCGTCTGTCATGGCTCTCCCAGGCGTGTTGCGTGTTGTTTCAGGACAGAGAATAGTGTCTGCAGCCAAGAACATAATGTAAATCTCTGCGTGATAGTTGAGGCTATGTGGGGGCACACTGGTTGTTACAGATTGTTCAGAGAGCATTGGAATAGTGGGCCCTGCGGTCAGAAATATCTGCTGCAATAGCTTATACCAGAGGAAAATGCATAAGCGATTAAAAGGTCATTTATAAAATGTGTCAGTGTCTCAGCTCACCTTTAAAGAGACTGTCACTTTGCCTATTCAAAAAATCTCCCAGTGGGTTCAAAAACCAAAGTAAAAAAATCCGACAGGCGTTTTGGTTCTTTAAAAACCTCATTTAATCCAGGGAGGGCCCTCGCCATCCTTACATAAAATGAAGGAGTGTTGGTCCTGCATTGTGCAAGATGTCTTTAGAAAGCCTGCAACTGGAGGAGCTGCTTTGGGGAATGGTCCTACAGCTAGGAGGAAGCCTGCAGGAAAGAGGAATAAGGGAAGGTGCCCATACACTGTCATTTTATTTTCTTCGTTCAACCTGTGGGCTGAACGAAGATAGTATACCGGATTCCTTGATCATTGCTTACGAGCATTGATTGAGGAATCTCCTGCTGTCTTCATTGTATTCTGACAGTGCCCGTCAGCTGCTGTCAGAATACCCTGCACAGAGCTGGCAGCTGATAGGCTCCTGGCTTTGTTCGTTCAAAGATTTTCCAACCGGCTCCTTCGATCAGCTGGTTGAGGGATGCCAGCTGAAAGGATGTGGACAGCAGCATCCGCTGTGCGAAATTTGCATACTGTATGGCCAGCTTAATTTTTTCTGTTGCCCGTAGTTGGGCTTTACAGTATTTAAAGAGACTTAACAAGCAATAATAGTTCTCGCAGAAACAATTGCCACACAAACAATTGCCACACAAACAATTGCCAGAGCCAACGTTTCGAGACCAGGCATGGTCTCTTCATCAGGGCATAAAGAGTGACAGACCCTGCGTGGTCTCAAAACGTTGGCTCTTGTGATTGTGTGACGTCTATGTCCAATAAATGGACATGTTGAATTATTCTACTGAGTGCTGGTGATTCCTCTTCCTGCATTGTGTCTGCGCGGTGCCATCCGTGTTCATCACTACAAGCACCATTGTCTACATAGGCCTTGATTGCTGCAAGGTGTGCGGAGGATTTCCCCTTCTATCCAATTTGGTATCAGAAACTGGACAATGTTTATTCCCGAAGTCAAGACATGCTGTAAACAAACACAGACTCCTCCAACTCATTCATAGAGATATATCTATATGAATAAGCCTTTTGGTGAAACATGTTAGAGTTGGAGGAGTCTGTGTTTGTTTACAGCATGTTTTGACTTTGGGAATAAACATTGTCCAGCTTGTGATACAAGGTCGTTTGTGTGGCAATTGCTTCTGCGAGAATTTTTAGGGCTTGTTACGTCTGTTTAAAGATTGTAACGACTGCACCGACAAGAGGGATGGGGCTGTTACCATAGGACAAGGAATGTGAGCGGTCGTTGCTTTGTGAGTTAAGCTATAAATATTAGTAGTATACGAACTGACCGCACTATCCAGAGAATTCCAATACTTCAGACTTTATTGAAATTCATAGCAACTCCAGTATAACAGTGAATAAAAGTGTATAAAGCAGCCAATACCAGCACCGCAAACCCCCAACCAGCTACAACCATTTGCGGTGCTGGTATTTGCTGCTATATATTATGTATATGTGTGTGTGTTCATATACTACTACATTTCAAGGTGGAGATGCACCTCTTGGACCTATGGCAGTCCTGATGGCTGCTAAAGATTTGGAGCTGTGAGATTTCCTTTTGGCTTTAGAAGTTATAAATATTACTTAAAGGAGAACTATGGGGTCAGTGTTTTTCCCCATAGTTCTCCTTAGGGTAACGGGAGGACACAAACTAGCGTCCTCCCGTTACCCTAAGCTCAGTATACCGCGAGCTACAGCTCGCGGTATACTGAGACGCCGCAGCCGGAGCGGATCCCGACATGGACGTCGAGATTCGCCCAGCTGCGTGAGAGACAGCTGGCTCTGCCTATCTAAAGGCAGAGCCAGCTGTACCCGCCCCCTCCCCCGTCCGTTCCGCCAGTTAGCGCTGGGAGAGGGGAATCCAGCCCCAGTCACGGCAGAGAGCCGTGACAGGATCGAGAGGTGAGCGAACCCGGTATGTGTTCGCTCACCTCCCGATCTACTGAGCCGACCTGTGACAGTCTCATTGTCGCAGGTCGGCTAGAACTATGAGGTGAGTGGAAATCACTCATCTCATAGTTCTCCTTTAATACTTAAAACAAGGCCTAGTTGACCCCTCAATCTGCATGTACTCTGAAGTCGTTCATTCTCGAAGATTGCAACAAAGACTCTAAAGTCAGGATTCAGTCAATTTCTAAAAGACTTACAGCAAATACCTGCTGTTTGCTTACTTTAAAGGGCTGGCAGGCTGCCGAGACTATCCATGGAGACTGTCCCTCCATGGAGACTGTCCCTCCATGGAGACTGTCTGAGATTTTAGTGCCTCTGTTGTAAACTTCTCTACATCTCCACAATGCCTATAGCTACAGAGGTGGGTGAGGGTTTGATTGAGTGCTTTTACTGCTTGTTTAGATCATGTAAATACTTAGGTGTGCATAGTCTGGTCACAGGTTCATTTTAACATTTTACCTAATTTTTCACATTTTAAAGTTAAAAGTAGTAAATTTAAGTGAACCAATAAATGAAAAAGAACTACAGCTTTACAAAGTTCTGTCTCCAGCTTCTGCCCAATGAATACAGAAACTTACTTCAGGCCCAGGTAGCCAACTTTGTTGTAAAAAGCATTGGGAAAATGGATGCAAATTGGCTTTGTAAATTGGCAAACAAACTGTTTACCAAATGGGTTTAATTAGATTATTTTAGTCAAATTATAGCTAGAATCAGTGGTTAAAACCACCAAGGTACTTTTTATATTGACTACATGTAGCATAGACAAATGTTCTAATTTTCAACTTTGATTTTGTAATTGGTACCCTTATGGTCATTATTATTCAATTGTTGCATCATCATTTTCATGTATTGATGTGTACACTTTTTGTTTGTTTTGTGTTCTAGGGTGTTCAGCAGAAACGGCCATCGGAAGCACAAAATGCAATACTCCGCAGATATTTTCTAGAGCTAACTCAGAGCTTCATAATTCCTCTGGTATGTGGCTGAAGGACATGGTTAAATTGCTGCTAGGCCTCTTCATTCATGTTCCTCTGTAGCTGTTTCCCTTTCTGATTTGTTTTTTGCTTCTGTAAGAGCACATTACCACCTATACAAGGATTGGCATTGCTCCTATGCATTGCGCATGAGTTTTGGGGTGTGCCCATTAATTTCTAATGGCTCCACAATATAGGTCCACGCATAAAAAAAATGAATGACCTTAACATATCGCAGCAACCTATGAACACATGGGTTTGTAGTGCAGTGTTGTCTGGATGTGTGTTGAGAACCCATTAAAAATGGATGGATACACACAAAAGGGCATCTGCACCAATGTATGTTAGAAGTGCCACAACCTCATGACTCTGCTCCATCGCTCCACATTGCAAACTGCGGCTGCCAGCTAACTCCTGGCCTCGTCTCCTCCCACAACCTCCTCTCACTTACTGAAGCCATTATATTCCTCTGTTTAGAACAATAGGATTGGGGTCCCGGGACTGGACAGGAAGGGGGCAGAGCTTGAATGTCCAGTAGGAAAATCTCTTTACTGGAATTTCCAGAAATATAATAAGCCAGTTTTTGATCCAACCTGACAGTATCTGCCACACGTACGCGAGGATGTTAGGCTACACATTGCAGATCTCTTTACCAATATGTTTGATGTTTATTGAGGTAAAGACACTCGGCCCTGCTAACTTCCCCAACGCAAAACCAAGTGGGGCTTAAAGCCTATCTCCAAAGTAAAACTCCCCTGTGCAGTGGTGTGCCCCCAAACTGCAATGGTTATATCCTTGGTTTAGGTCTAGTGTACTTGCGTAAAGCAATTTTACTTTCCTGACTCCCAGTCCCCTGGTGGCCGGCACTCGCCTTGTCTTTCCAGTGCTTCGGCTTGTGGACTTTATCACGACGTCCTTGCATATAATGCAGTGCTTTGGGCCCTGCATTGTATTTGGTGATGTCAGTGACAATAGGAGCTGAGATCAAGTAAAGTCCTTCCCTTCACCCAGGTACCCTAGACCTAAACAAGTATGTAACCCATGCAGTGCAGGGACAGCCCCACTGCAAGGGGAGTTCCCCCCTTCCCTGGTGATGGGCTTTAGCTGCAGAGGACCCAAAGGGGTGAAACAAATCAAAGGAAGCCTAGTGGCTCAGTGGTTAGCACTTCTGCTTTGCAGCACTGAGAGTCCCGGTTCAAATCCCAGGCAGGACAGTATCTGCAGGGAGTTTGCATGTTCTCTGTGTGCTTGCAGGGTTCCCTCAGGGTACTCCGGTTTCCTCCCACATTCCAAAGACATGCTGAAAAGGTTAATTGGCTCCTGTCTAAATCGGCCCTGTATGTGTAAGCTCCTTGAGGGCAGGGACTGATGTGACTGTGCAACATGTGTAAAGCCCTGCGCGAATTGTCGGTGCTATATAAATACCTGTAATAAATAAAGGAGGTTCGCAGGTCAAGTGTGTTCACCACATGCCTAAAAATGGTATTGAAACAAAATGTCTCTGCAGTTGTATGGCTTGACATTCTTGTCTCCTCCCCTTCTCTTCATCTTTCTGTAGGGGTCCCCCAAGGCTCTGTCCTTGGACCCCTTCTCTTTGTACACCTCCTCTCTTGGTCATTTGATCACCTCACATGGCTTCCAATACCATCTCTATGCTGATGACACTCAAATCTATCTTTCTACTCCACAACTCACCCCCTCAGTGTCCTTGCACGTCACTAATCTACTAACTGACATATCCGTCTGGATGTCACAACACTTCTTAAAACTCAACCTTTCAAAAACTGAGCTCTTGATATTTCCTCCTGCCCGTGCACCTTCCCCCAACTTTTCCCTTGAGATTGTTAACACAACTATCCAGCCCTCCCCTCTTGCCAAGGACCTAGGTGTATTCCTGGACTCGGACCTCACCTTTCTTCCCCACATCCAATCACTATCCAAATCCTGCCACCTTCACCTTCGTAACTTCTCCAAAATACACCCCTTCCTCACCAAAGAAACCGCTAAATTACTCATCCACTCCCTTGTTATATCTCGTCTTGACTATTGCAACTCCCTCCTCATTGGCCTTCCACTACACAGGATATCCCCCCTTCAGTCTATCAGGAATGCAGCTGCTAGAGTCATCCACCTAACCAAGCGCTCAGTGTCTGCATCCCCCCTCTGTCAATCACTACACTGGCTTCCAATAGCTCAGAGGATAAAATGCAAAATATTAACAGTCACTTATAAAGCCATCCACAACTCTGCCCCTGACTATATCTCAAACCTTGTCTCAAAGTATCACCCTAACCGTTCATTCAGCTCATCCCAAGACCTCCTGCTTTCCAGCTCCCTTGTCAACTCCTCCCATCCTTGCCTCCGGGACTTCTCTAGATTCTCTCCCATCCTCCGAAACTCTTTACCCCAACCTGTCCATCTATCTCGCCTATCCCACCTCAACCTAACCGCTCAACCTTCACGTTCTAATACAATTCATCACCACACAGATACCTCCTCATGTATCACTTGCCCCACCCTATTAGATTGTAAGCCCTCAGGGGCAGGACCCTCCTTACCATCTTGTCTTGCATTGTATTGTGATTGTAATGTCTTCCTTATATTGTAAAGCGCTGCGCAAACTGTTGGCGCTATATAAATCCTGTATAATAATAATATGTATCATTTGTGTCTATAGGAACGTTATGTGGCAAGTTTGATGCCATTGTTGAAGAGCATCTCTGCATGGAAGGTGAGTTTCTACCGATTGGTGTTTGTTGTAGATGGTGAGACGGCCCTAACGTTGAACCTTTTTCAATGTGTGTTTATATGGTCTTTCTACAGAGTCCTCCACAGCTCAAGACCTTCAGCCAGGAGGAATTTATGAAGACATTGGAGAAGACAGGTCCTCAACTTACTTCGCGATTAAAAGGAGACTGGATCGGCTTATACAGGTTGATAGGAAATAGATACTGTAGATGTCATTAGGTTGTTATATTTTGCTCAAGTGCAGCTCCACTCATTGCCAGCATGTAGAGCAGAGGGGTGAGTAAAATTTGTATACAACACCCCACATGCCTGTTATTAAATGATTTAAGGTCCTGGTCAAGAGTCTTTATGCTATTTGTTTTTCTGGTTAGATGTTTTAAATCTCTGACAGAGTACTCGATTAAAGGGAGACTGGATGGGTAAGCGATATTATAGTCAATATGTTTGTAAGTTATTTTAAATGCTGATTAAATCACTTACCTTGGATGCTGCTTCTTGAAGTTTAGCTTCCTGTAGAATCAGCTGGTCCCCTGAGCACTGGCCCTGATATCCTGTTTTAGCGTGGCTCATTTCCCTTGCAGGGTCCCATGGAGTCACCCTTGTGTGTGCCAGTAAGCTGTTCATGTCTCCACAGGCACAGCAGGGCAAGCCACTTCCCTGCTCCCCTCTCCTCCTTCCTCCCTTCGCTCTTCTCCATGCTAGTAGATGGACAGCTGCTGAAGACTGCTCTGTTCATTGTGATCTAGTACTGGACAGGAAGTTCAGGGAATCCAAGCTGAGAGAGTTCAAGTTGTTTGGAAACATGATGATTATAAATCCTTGGGCAAAAATATAAAGAAATACTTTACTGGACAATGTATATTTGTTTTATCTGGATTCGTTATTGAGAAAATGTTTGAGAGAGTAATACTACTTTATGGCTGACAGTAGAGTGAAATACCTACAAGCCCTCATCTCCCCCCATATGGAGGAATCAAGTGTTTTCTCTTATTCAGCCCAAGCTTACAATTAAACTTACCTTACCTTTTGTCTTCCTCCCATGGTGCCTAGGGGAGGGTGACGTCAAGCTCCTTCTTGCAAGATTCTGGGGAAGACAGAGAAGCCCAAATCTTGTCATAAGAGGCTCCTGCATTGGACTAGAGTCTTCTCACAAGATTTGGGGTACCCATTGTTCCCCAGGAATTTCCCTGGAAGGAAGGAAGAATGCTGCAGCAAAGCCCATTTTAAGCTAAAAAGAATTCAAAACACCAGAGCACATGGCCTTTAAAGAAGAACTCCAGGGAAAATGATTAACCCTTGCAGTGAGCTATCCCCGAACTGCAAGAGTTAATGTGACACTGATGGCAAAAACATCTGAACTGCGCATGCGCCCGCCCCAAGATCCTTTGCGGCTGCCCGAGAAATTTTCAGATGTTCAGACGGGAGCGCGCGACGGAGACACAGGCAAGTAATAACCCCTTGAAAAAGTTGTTTTAAAAAAAAATCGTTTTGCATAGATCTGCTGCTTGCTAGTAGTAGATCTATGCAAAAACAAATGAGGGTTTAATAACCCTTTAACTGCTTTCGTGTAGGGAGGAAAATATCAAAATTATACACACCTGATCCTTGGACTTGGCTTGCTCTACACCGGTCTCTGGAGCCTCTCTCCCCCTCCGCTGCAGCGGCCTAAGGTACCATAAATCATCACGGTCTCTACACAGGGGGCACCGAGGGACATTCCATTGCTGCAATCCATTAGGATACAGACAGTTGGGCCCCTCCAACAGCTCTGCTATTAGCACAGACTATGTGCAGCACAGCAATGACGTCACTGCTAATTTTACAAGATAATCTATGCGTTTAGAAAGACATTTGGTTCACACAAAGTGGATTCATATCCTGTGTAACTGTTTAGGAGTACTGTGTATATATAAATGAAAGTTTTTGTGCCCGGAGTTTAGCTTTTAAAATATTTTGGCTATACATACATGTGAAAGACTATTAAATGGGATTGATGTCCGTTTATAAATGAGTTCTCATTGCAGTCTGGGGATAAACTAATTGGTAGTATATGAGCCTTGTGGTTTCTAGGGGCAGCAATAAATGTATATGGAAAGCTGTATACATGTATAGTGAAGACGTGCCCCATGTACATTGCTCTGGCCATCTGCTCCTGCGGCACTTTGTAATAAATGGCTCTCATTCAGAAGGCTTTCATCCTATAGCTCTTCCTTCAATAAGCGGTTTGTGCTCAGCAGATTGCAGTCATTTATTCTGTGCCCAGAAGGATTCATGAGGCCATCTGCCAATACCAGGGTCACAGGTTTTCTTTCATCATCATGGAGAATGAAATAGTCTCAAGTCATGCAGTTACAGATATGACGGCATCAATCATACTGAAACCTTAGTAGATAAGAGATGAAAACATTCCATACATTTACAGGGTAATAAAACCTTTAGAGTAATGATATTAGACGTGCCCCTAAAATTCCTTTCCTGGAACCTTTTTATTTATTTTGTTTTAAAGGTAACCTTACTAGTTGTTGTCTCCAATCGCTTCCTGAGCATTTTTAGTGATTAAAGTGGAACTATGGTCATAATCAAATGCTACATGTATGCTGCAGCCTGTCAGTAGCATTAGCAGAGCCCCCACCCCCCATGACATAGTTTTATTAGCTGTTCATCCTGCAAGTCAAGTAGATCCTTTATTTTTCCCACTTCCTGTTCTGCTTTGAAATCATACAGCACCGTTGTCACCCTGTGGACATGGTAGTCCTAAATTGTGACGTTTATAATCCAGCTAACACTTCAGTAGTTACAGTATCTGTTTTCTTTTGGGGAAAAAAGGTTTAACCCTTTTACTGACAAGGATGTCTCGTATAGGTTATGGCATTGGACGGTGGAATTTAGCTTAGAGCTCGGGAGGGGGGGAATTATTATTAACCCTTACAGTGTGACTACCCCCTGCACTGCAAGGGTTGAGTGCTTGTTTTGGTCTAGGGCTGAAAATAACAGTTATACTAACCTAATCCTCTGAGCCAGCAAGCTCTTAGGCCAGCTCTTGGAGCCTCTCTCCCCCTTTTCTGCAGCGGTCTAAGGTCCTGTAAATCATCACATTCTATACACAGTATTTAGAACGGGAGGACTCCAAGGAACAGTCCATTGCTGCAGCGGAGGAGGAGACAGGCAGGAAGGAGCGCTATCACAGCTGGTTGGCTCTGTGGATCGGGCCAGTATAGCTTTGTTTTTTTCCTCCCTAGACCAAGATGTGTACTTAACCCTCGCAGCGCCAGGGGTTGACCCACTGCAAGGGTTAACAATATTTCCCCCCAGAGTTTTGCTTTTAAAATCTGCAACCTCTGGGCATTAATGTAGAAGTGATCAGAGCGGCTGTAAAGCCACCCGATCACTTCTAAGGGCTGCTAAGGTTCCATCTGAGATAATTGATATGTCTTGAATTGGATTGTGATTGCAATGTCTTCCTTATGTTGTAAAGCGCTGTGCAAACTGTTGGCGCTATATAAATCCTGTATAATAATAATATGTATTTATTTGAGACAATATTTTATATTTTACCAAAATGGAAGAATCCTTTTTGTGTTTGTGTGCACTCAAATGAGTTTTAATATTTTTTCCCCCTCTACTGAATATATAGGTCTAATAAACAGTTGCATAAATATCAAGCAACATAAAAATTGGCAACTACCATCTTTTTATTCTGTTCTCTGTCTCAGAAAATATATAATGATTTGGGCGTTATCCCAAATATAAGTATTCTCATATCCATAGTATTCTTCGGTCCAAAATGCTCATTTAACACGTGTTCAATATCTTGGCCCGCATGAACAGGTGAAGAAAAATCTAAAAAATAATGTATTATTACAGGTTACTAGATTACAATATTTATCATTATAGTAAATGTAAGTATACGTTTAATGTATGTAACATAGCATGTTCTCTGTTCAAGGCATTTTTTGCGCTCACCCAACTTTGATGGCTGGTTCAGAGCCCGGAGAAAAGAAATGATGCAGAAGCTAGAGGCTCTTCAACTTGAAGCAGTTTGTAATGAGGTAAGTTCCGTTTTTGTCCTGAAATGCAATTAAACCAATTGAATCAAATATAACTCCACTTTTATGCCTCATTCACACGAGAAAAGGCCGGCACATACAGCTCTGTGCTGCGTGCGCGGCCGCATCGGGCAGCTCCCGGGAAGGACAGGTGCTGTGTGTGATTAGTACGCAGCCCCTGTCCCTGAGAGGTGACAGCAGAATCCATTCTGCTTAATGGGGCTCCCAGATTGGGAAAAGGAGTGTCAGTACTTGTCTTTGTTTTATCTTCTTAGTTATGATGAAGGGGGCATTTTGGATCCCCCAAAACAGATTGGGGGGGGATTTATCAAAACTGGAGCAGACAGAATCTGGAGCAGTTGTGCATGACAACCAATCAGCCTCTCTCTTTCATTTTTAAATCTTACCTGAGCAAAGTGAAGAGAGAAGCTGATTGGTTGTCATGCACAACTGCTCCAGATTTTGTCTGCTCAAGTTTTGATAACCCCACCCCATTGAATTCCTCTCTTTGATCTTCTGTCTGAACCAGTACTGGAATAAAGTTGTATCGGGACTAATCATTTTAGTGTGGCGCTTCATTCTTAGATCTGCTGTTTAGCAATCTGAGCAGGGCTATTTTACTTAGCATAGATCTGTCAGTTTACAGTGTGAACATGCTTACAGGAACAGAGAGCACAGGAATGAACTCATCATTGAGCTACTGCTTCTTCATTGGCCACAAACTGGGATAGATCCTGGCTGGACTAGGATGTATTACTGAAATTCAGTGTAGTTTGAGTGGAAATCCAGGACCTTGACGTTTTTGTCCAATAAAAGGGACATATTTATCTTTGTTATTGAGTGCTGGTTATCTGCTTCTTTTCTTGGATCACAAGACTGACTGTAAAGAATTACAAATCCTTTGGCATGTGAATTAGTTCACATAAATGTATTTCAGTTCTTTAATTTAGCTGTTTCCCTGGAGTTCAGCTTGTTATCAGCTTATGCTTTTTACTAGGGATGCACCGATACCGGTATTTCGGTATCTAATACAAGTACCGATATTTTTTTTCCGGTACTCGCCGATACTGAATACCAAGTACTGGAAGTCCCATTCAGGAAGCGTGTAATGACTCGTCACCTGGCTTCCTGATTAGCAGGGAAGCCGTCCCCATGCACTGGGTGACGAGAAAGCATGAAGCCGGCTTTCTGGCCAATCGGGAAGCCGGACGCTGTGTAATGACGCGCCGCCCGGCTTCCTGATTGGCCGGGAAGCCGGCTCCATATTCCCTCGTCATGAGGTGTACTCGCCCAAATACTCGGCATCGGCACCGATACTAGTTCACGGCATCCCAACTTTTTATGGTATGTGTATGATCAGTGACCATAATCCATCCAGCCTAATTTAATGTGTTTTATATTTCCCCCTAAGGACTTGCTGATTTGGGTACAGAAGCACAGTGAAGTTGAGTCTGTAGACCTGGTTTTAAAACTTAAAAGTAAACTGGTAAGTGCAACTAAGACTATGATGGGAGATCAAATCTATCACCGGGAAACACCAAGAAACCGTACACTCAGAATACAGATTGAATTATGTAAATCTAAATGCTTAAAGTAGATCTAAACCCTAATGGGATGACATTTAGATTTCTAAAACATTGTGGATAAAATAATAGAACACTTTTTTTTTTGCATCTCAGCACGCCTACCCTTCCGCAGCCTCTTTAGCCATTTCCTGTCTACATGCACATGCTCCAGCATCAGCTGTGCATCATTGCATTGAACCAGCTTCCTGATAGTAAAAACTACACACTATACCTGCGCAGTGTATCAGCATGGCTGCTTGTAGTCTCCACCAGGCCACATATGACAAAGTGACAACACATGAGCACAGTAGGGAGAAAGTTGTCGCTATGTAACAAAGTGCCTAAACAAGCACCTGCATGACACTACCACCAGGTATAAAATGACTGAAAAACAACTTTTGAAATTGCATTAACACATTAAAGGTTACATGAAATTTTATGGATTGGGTTCAGATCTACTTTAAGCTTCATGTACAGTGGTTGGTACATTAATGTTGTTAGTGCTGACGCTTGCCCGCTCTTTCCGACCCCACCATACATTACATTCCGATTTTGCTCTGCACTATGAAGTGCTGCTTGGCTGGAATGTATGTGGGAGGTGGCCAAGCTGCTAAAGGCACGTGCATATACCTCTGGGTGCCTGCCCTTTTATACCTTTCAGAATCTTTTTTTTGTTTGTTTTAAGTTAAAGTATCACTTTAACAAAAGACATGTAAAACAAAAAAAATTATAATATAGTAAACGCTCGAATTTTATGCCTTAACTGCATACAGTTTTTAGAACACACATTATTTTCCCAATACTGGTCCATTAGGGCCCATTCAGACCTAACTGATCCGATGCAGTGCATTACCATGAGTTGTGATAAGGTAGCCAAATAATTTGATTTGGCTGCCAACACACCACAACAAATCAAAAATCTGACCTGTACTATTATTTCCAAAGCAGTGCACCACAATGCATGGTTGTGATACAATGCAGTGTGGTGCACTGCAATGCTGGATAATTGGAGGTACATTGGTTTATTGCATTGGTATGCCAATCACATTGAATGGCCTTGCAGCATTGCACTAAAGCTGGTCATAAATCCCAGTAGAAATAACAGTAGAGTAGTACAAATAATTTGTTTTCGGAGCATTCGTTCGAGCTTCTAATTGTTAAAAGTGTTCTAACAGTGAATGTGGGTTTTGTCTGAAAAACACCATTCAGTCCAAAATCAAATGTTGAAATCAAATAAAATTTTAAGTGACAAGTCCCTGGTGGCATCATTGAATGTTCTGATAAGATTTCTCGTATGAATCTTGGTACAAAAATCTACCACTATATATGGGCCCATATGGTATAGGCCTTTAACGTTTTTAGATGATAGTTGCCATGGAGCAGCTTAAGGTCTCATTCACACTGTAATCGGCCATCATGTACAGCTGCGTGCAGGACCGTATCGGACAGCTCCCGGGAAGGACAGGTGCTGCGTGTGATTAGTACACAGCCCCCGTCCTTCTCTATGGGACTACGCAGCCGTACGCCCCCCATACGCTCACCAGCCCTGCACGTCCGTACAGGTGACAGGATGGATCTTGTCTGCGTCCGAGCCAGGAAACACGCACCCCTATGGACCTGCACTTGAGGTGAGCGTAGGGGGGCTTACGGCCGCATAGTCCCATAGAGAAGGACAGGGCTGCTTACTAATCGCACGCAATCCCTGTCCTTCCCAAGAGCTGTTCGATGTAGGGCTGCAACAACTAATCGACATAATCGATTATAATCGAATGTGGCCGTGCACGCAGCTGTATGTGCCGGCCGATTACAGTGTGAATGAGGACCTAAAATTGCCATTCATTGTATTGGTGTCGTGTTGATCAATCTTGCTGTTAACAGGCTCTGGCACAGAGGGAAAATCTCCCTGTAAGCGTGGATACGGTGCAGAAGCTTCAAGGACAGGTAGCCACCATCATACAGGAGCTGCCTGAAGACTTGCAGGAGATCTTAGTGAAAACCAACAGCTCATGATATACGTGGAGCCCAGATAGTAAGACTTTCACAACCTACTTTTGTACAGCACAGCGACGGACAGAGCATACAGGGCAAGACTTCCAATATGGACTGGGCTTTGTGAAACAGGTGAATGCTTCGCCACCCAGAGGAACAACATCAAGATCTATTTTTCTAATGCTGTATCATAGACTAACTGCTTTTTATGGACAAAGACCGGATCATCGCTTATTGGGGAACCCAACAGTGGTAAAATCTAGATCGTGTCTTAATGTACACAAACAGCTCTGTTTTTTTTATACACGACACAACCTAGAGTTCTAGGATGTGACTGAAGAAAATGCATTCTAAGATCATGCTTTACCCAATATGTTGTAATGAGGTTTTCATCGTGACCATTATTATTTCATTAGACTTATTGTAGTAATCCGTAGCCCCTACTACTGGCTGTGATGGCTATAAATTCACAGAGGATGAAATCATGTTGATTGATCTCTACAATCACACACAGCAGTGGCAATCTGTTAGGCGGCAGTTTACTTGTGTGAGAAGCCTTAAAGTGACATTAAACTCAAGAACTCCATCTTAAAAATGCATTCAAGTACAATGAATAATAACCAAAAAGCAGCCACCCTCCAGAAGTAAGGACAGTGTCAGCATGAATTCAGAGATGATTTGAGGATCTACAGCTGAGTGATACACACATAAGATACATTTTTGTTAATAATTAAGGCACTTGAAGGCATTTTTAAGATTTAGCTCCTGAGTTTCATGTCACTTTAGATCACGGAAGCTGCTGTTCTCGGATTTCTGGACTGTATACTGCTTCTGGTCCAGTGTGCTGGGACCTACCTAGGTTCTTTGATGCATGCCATTTCTTGGCCAGTGACGTCAGTTGCGTGGAAACCAAAGACCAGCAGCTCCCATATGAGGCTTTCTATACATCTAAAGGGAAACTAAAGGGAAATCTCAAACCAAAATTTAAAAACAAAATGTGTTGGGCGCAGTTGAGCTTTATGTCACCATATATAACAGTATCATTTTTAACTTTAAATGTATCTAAACCCAAGAAGACAAATGTAATTTATTGCAGTTTACCAATTCTTGGATGTGGTGGCTCCACACACACTTCCTGCCCAAGGGTGACTACTCCTTCACTGTATCTATAGAGGTTTAGTGTAGCCATCCTCGGACCTGTGTCACATTGTCACCCTGTAGAGAGGGTAGTGTTCGATGAACACAAATGTAAGCTTGACTCCAGCTAACACTTTTTAAGCAGTAACAGCAACAGTTTTGTTTTCTCTTATGTAGCACAACTAACCATGGCCTTCAACATCTAGGGGCCAGTTGGACATGCAGGCAGGGCCTGATTTAGCTATAAATGGACATGGATATCATGAGCATTTCTATTTAGGCTATGCAGAAGGGACCAGAGGGGCAGATCTCACTGCAGGTAGTCCTGGACAAAGTATCCTAGACATCTCTACAAGAACTGTCACTCAGCACTGTTCCAAACTGCCACATGACACTTTCACCTAGTCTGACCAAAACCAGTAACAGATCATGTTTTCTAACTTCAAGTTGTTCATTAATTACAATTTAGAATAAGCACAATTATTTTTCTGGCAATGTTTTGAGCAGGCCGGTAAAACATGATCGGTCAGTTAAGTTTCTATGAGGGCTTCCAACTAATTGTACTGAGATTTCTATGTGTATACAAACACTGTACAGAGAATGTTAAATCAGTCTTTGGATGAGGCAAACTATGGCACCACATTTCTATATCCTCTCATATTGGCAATAGTGGGAAATGTTTGCCCAGCTCCATCATTGATCAGATGGTCTCACAGTCGTGTAACTCAGTTTATTCCATAAGTTCATCAGCTCTTTCCAATCATGTTTCCCAATCTGGGTGCAGCAGAGTGAATTAAGCTGGGTTGCTCTGGGTTACTGCAATTTTCATAGTTAAGAGCCTTTGCGTTGGGTGACTGCCAAAGGTTGACCTATGTTTAGGCTCATCATGTGATGCTGAAGGTTGCAAAGATCGGCTTGATAATGGGCAAAGGCCTATCGATTGCATTCCTGTAAAGAAATTGTCAAGTTGTCTTTGACTATTAAACTTTTTAACATTTATTTTGTATTTTAGTTGCCTGTTTGGGAAGATAGTCTTTAGATTAGCATTTTTTAATCCTGGCGTGTAAACACTTGTTTGAATAGCAACATTTCAGCAAGCATTTACAAAGCGTTTATTAAGCATCAAGCCACTTTAAGGGATTTGTAAATGAATTACCCAAATTTACCCCCAAAACCCCCTCTTTTTCGTTTGGAGCATGTTCCTGCATTTTTAAATCTTGTTCCTGTAGCAAGAAAAAGCTTTTATTACTCCCTGTGACCTTGTCTCCATGCTTATAAAAATCCTTCCAGGGTCTGCTGGAAGCTCAGTTCCTATTGATATAGACACATCCCCAGATCTACATCTCCCAACACCCTTTCTGTGCCCAGGCTCTTTAGAGTCAAGGCAGCAGCATTACCTTACTGGGATACAATTCAATACATGCATGTGGAGTGGGACAGAGAGGGGTGGAGGATAGTTGAAATTTGGTAACCCAGCAGGCAGGGCTGACAACACTGGTTGGGATTTGATTGCAGCAGGGGTACTGTGTTGAGATAGGAGCTCCCTGCAGTCATTTTAAAGGGATAATACAATGGACAATGTTTATGTATTATAGAGATGTACTACTTTTTTTTTTTTTGCAGAGATGTTCAATTTATCCCCTTGATGCTGCCTCCTGCCAGCCCTTCAACTGGGTCTTAACGTTGGGAGGCAGAATCCTGATCATGAGAACGCTGTGATTGGCTGTCATAGTAGCATGATTGACAGCCCACCCCTCTGGCTCCTGACTGTTTACAGTGACAGTGGTGTGTGCTGGGAGCGCGCTCTCGGTACACAATAGTGGAATCCAATGGACACAAATGTGACAGCCTGGCATAAAGGTCCACCAGCACTAACAGGTTAAAGCCCCTTCAGCACCACTCCTGGAGTACTGGTTGTAGCTTTAAACAAACATTCAACAGACTTTAGCTAACATTTAGGAAAGTTCAGCAATGCTCTTCTGACTAGCAATTACAAACTACAACTAACTCTATTGGAGATACCATTGTCCTCCATCTTTACTTTAATAACAATAAACCTGCTCACTAACTACATTACTACCATTTTTGATAGAGATACCATAAGACAGCCATGCTGTTGCTTAGATATTTGTTTCCTTGCAGCGTTCATAGCTTCCTGGAAATAATCTCACATTAATGCGCTGTCATTCCACAACTGCAATTTATGGAAAGTTATTAGGACTTGCACAGATCAGCATGCTACTGCAGCGCTCAGGTCAAATAAATGTATTATAGCAGATGGTTTACGTACACACAGGCACAAATTATATTTGTTTTCCTTGCCAAAAGCCATGTACTGAAAGATATTACATTGCCCTACGGTGACTAGCCATTGTGGAGTCCTTATATTTAAAAGTAGAACTGAAAGTGACACTAAACTCGTTAAAACCTAAAAATACATTCAAGTACCTTAATTATTAACAAAATGTATCTTCTTTGTGTATCACTCGGCTGTAGATCCCCAAATCATCTCTGAATTGGTGCTGACACTGTCCTTCCTTCCGGAGGGTGCCTACGTGTGTTCCACATGGACCCCGTGTGTGTTGTAAAGTAGTCACTGCTCCAAGCTCGCTCCTGTGATAGACTACAATCTCATGTTTAGTTTACTAATTTGTATTGAGATTGTAGTCCATCACGGGATTGAGCTTGGAGCAGTGGCTACTTTACAACACACACGGGGTCCATGTGGAACACACGTAGGCACCCTCCGGAAGGAAGGACAGTGTCAGCACCAATTCAGAGATTATTTGAGGATCTACAGCAGAGTGATAATGAGATACATTTTTGTTATTAGTTAAGGTACTTGAATGTATTTTTAAGATTTAACTCTTGAATTTCATGTCACTGTAACCGAAAAATAAAAAAATGCAAGCAGACGGGCTCTTTATTGCAGAAGATTCAAGTCTCTTCTGCAATAAAAAATTACCTGCCTGTCTGTTCCCAGTCTTCTATGGAATGCACACAAAGCTGCTCATGTGTGGCTCAGTGTAGCATTCTCGGCACACCTCAGTGCCAGGATGAATGCATTCCCATGCACATACGCAGGAGTTGCATAATTCGGGCCTGCTTATCAAGAGGACCAAAGATCCTGAGCCTCTGGAAAGTCCGGGAGAAGAGTTTACTTCTGCTTTAATGTTTAATTCTGTATTTGGCTCTACTTACACTGCAGCTAAGAATTGGGGTAAGGGGCTGCCTGAAGTCTAACAGCTGCTGCCCTGTCAACCAACTGTCCTCATGCTGATGATGCTCATCACTCTGTTCCCCAGCTCCTGAAAGTGCATAACAGTGCCCTGTAGTCGTTTACATTCCTGTTATCTTTAAGGGCTCCAATACTTGATGCTGTTATGCACTCCTAACACCAGCCGTGCCACTGGAGAAAAAAAGGGATTGGCACCAATGGGACTCCAACATACTAATGCAATGTCTGGTGATATTTTATTTGTGCTTCAGAGTTTAGCTACAGTAGTGCAGTAGCAGCTCTTCCATATACAAGTGAATGAAGTGTTATAGGATGCTTCCATCATTCTTCTCTGACAGCAGCAGCATTATGTACTGACCTGGTACTTCCATACATGAGGCTACATATTCCAGCGCCCTCTAGTGGTTATGATGGGAGATTGGCCTGCAGCTTGTGTAGAAGGCAGGGGGTGATATAACTCTGCTGGGTTCCCATACAGCAGCCAAGATCTTCTGCGGAATAAAACACTGCACACTCTACCTAAAGCATGCATCTATTTTCAGTGGAGTGGACAAATCAGCAATGTGCATTAGTAGTGATCTGAATCTCCATGATTAAATTGTTATAGTGGGAGGCATATTTGCTGTTGTTTTCTTATTTTCTCTCCCTGGCAGAGCAGTGATGCAAGCCCCGTGCTCCGCTGAACGACCCCCCTTGGAGGCTCATCTGTCTTCTGTGTGAGCTCAGGGCTATTAAAGGAGACCTTTTATCCCCTTTCACTAAAAATCACCTCAGCATGCTGATATGAAATCATCTTACATCTTCATTAGTTAAACATATTTTTCTCATTACAATTATTGTTTTTCCATTTCCTGGTCCTCTTGGGCAATAGTGATGTAATGTGCCCAAGCGTTGCATCCTGGGAAGTTTACATCATCAGAGCATTGCTGGGGAAACTCATCTGTTATCTCATGAGATCTCAGGGAAAGGCATTTTCCTTCCCTGAGATGATGTGCGTTGCCACATGTCCTAGTCACATGTTCCAGGAAG